TGAAACTTTCAGATCTGATAGAACATAAAAACCTCTAGACATATATATATATTTTTCATTTTGATGACGTCACTTCCGATTCGGAGTTTTCTGCGATTTAGTGAATTTTAGAGAGTCACTTTGTCAGGCAAGTTTCTCAAAAAGCACTAAACATAGAAGCATGAAATCTACAGTGATGCTAAGAGCAACTTTTGGAAAAGTGCACTTAGTATATCATAACTACTGGATGTACGAAACGCCGACGCTCGCTTAGTCCGAAAATAGTCCTATCGTAAAATTCAAAATTTCTGACGCCTTTTCTTCAATATCTTTTTACCTGAAATATTTTGTTTAAACATATAAAGCAAAAGAAGTGTAGAATTACCTGATCTCTCAAATGATATCTCCAAAAAAGGGCTGGCCCCTATAATTAAGGGCCGCAAGGGGCCGAAAGTTTTTCCTTAATATCTCAAAAAGTACCCAAGAATTTGTAATATGTTAAAGAAGCAAAGTTATTCAAAATGTCAAGCTTAATCTATTGGAGTCATCAAAATTTGTGTGGTGACGTCACTTCCGGTCGAATGGGAGGAGGCAGAAAATGCGTATTTTTGCCGTTCTTTACAAGTTTTTGGGTAACATCTGTCACTGAGAGCATATAATTTTCCGTCCGTCGTCGTCACTTCCGGTCAAACCGGAAGTAGCAAAAAATGGCTTATTTTTGCATGAATTAACATAGATTTGGAGGATTTAAACCATTTTGGATTATTTATTCATTTATTTTAAAGAGTGAAAGTTACTTCCGGTCAAACAGGACGGAAGACTTACTCGTTGTTTTGCAACGAGCTTTACTCTAGTTAAGGTCTTCCTTCTTCAGCGGAAGACCTTCTTGTTAATGGTTTGTTTCTTTTCCACTGTTTTTCTTATTTTTTTTTCTTACCGATTTTGTGCACGCAATTTCTCGGAAACGGCTTGTTTGATTTTTATGAAACTTTTAGGTCTGAAAGAACATTAAAAAATCTCGATACCCTTTTTATTTTGATGACGTCACTTCCGGGTTGAAGTTTTTCGCAGTTTACTGATTTTTTTGGGTCAATTTGTCCGTCTCTCTTCTATAAAACTGCTCATCACAGGAAGATGAAACCTTTTCTGGAAGATAGAGCAACATATGTAGATTTGCATTGTGTTGTTAACTTTCACCGGAAGTACTGCACGTTAACGCTTGGCAGGGTCTGAAAAAAGTAATATTGAGCGTTTCAAAATTTCTAAAACTTTTTCTATTATACTCGTTTTACTTGTAAATATTTTGTTAAGACCTGTAGAACAAAATTTGTGCAGAATTAAGAGATCTTTCAAATGATATCTCGAAAGAAGGGCTGGCTCCTTAAATAAGGGGCCTAGAGGGGCCGAATGTTTTTCCTTGATATCTCAAAAAGTATTGAGAATTTGTAATGCGTCAAAGAAGCAAAGTAGATGTCAAGCTTTATCTATTGGAGTCATCAGAATACGTCCAGCACCGTCACTTCCGGTCAAACCGGAAGTTGTCATAAAATGCATATTTTTGCCTTACTTGATATGTTTTTGGGTAACATATGTCACTAGAGGGATAAAACTGAATTTTTGGACGTCGAGGTCACTTTCGGTTAAACCGGAAGTAGCTTAAAATAGCTTATTTTTATAGGTTTTGACGCAAAATTAAGATTATAAAGTCACTGGAGACGACTTAGCTCATTGCTTTCTTTTGTTGACGTCACTTCCGGTCAAAACAGGGCGGAAGACCTACTCGTTGCTTTGCAAAGAGCTTTGCTCTAGTTCTTCTTATTTTTTCTTACCGATTTTGTGCACGCAATTTCTCGAAAACGGCTAGTTAGATTTTTATGTAATTTTCAGGTCTGATTGAACACAAAAAAAAATCTTGATGCATTTTTTAAATTTTGATGACGTCACTTTCGGTTCGAAGATTTTCGCAATTTTGTGTTTTTTAAGGGTCAGTTTGTCCGTCGCTCTTCCTTAAAACCGCTCATCACAGGAAGTTGAAACTTTTATGGAAGATAGAGCAACATATATAGATTTGCATTGTGTTGTTAACTTTCACCGGAAGAACTGCACGTTAACGCTTGGTATGGTCTGAAAAAAGTCACATTGAGCGTTTCAAAATTTCTTACACTTTTTCTATTATATCTTTTTACTTGTAAATTTTTTGTAAATACATATAATCAAAATTTGTTTAGAATTAAATGATCTTTCAAACGGTATCTCGAAAAAGCGGCTGGCCCCTAAAATAAGGGATCGAGTGGGGCCAGTTTTTTCCTGATATCTTTAAAAGTATTGAAAATTTGTAATAGATGTAAGAAGCAATGTTGTTCTAAATGTCAAGCAAAATCTACTGGTCTCGTCAAAATTTGTCCGGCGACGTTACTTCCGGTCAAACCGGAAGTAGTCAGAAAACGCGTATTTTTGCCGTTCTTAACAAGTTTTTGGGTAACATCTCTCACAGGAAACAAAAAAAAATTATTTTCCGTCTGTCGTCATCACTTCCGGTCAAACTGGGAGTAGCAAAAACTGGTTTATTGTTGCATTAATTAACATAGATTTAGAAGATTAAAACCATTTATGGGCGTAATTACTCATTTGTAAAAAATGAAAGTTACTTCCGGTCGACCAGGACGGAAGACCTACTCGTTGCTTTGCAACGAGCTTTGCTCTAGTTATTATTATTTTTTTCTGTCCTTATTTTTGTGCAGATGATTTCTCAGAGATGCTTGGACGGATTTATATGAAATTCTCAGGGATGATGTATCATGATCTGAACTTGATACGTTTCCCTTAATTTTAAGAAATTCACTTTCGGTCGGAAATTATCGCCCTTTAATCGCATTTTAGTGACCATTTTGTCCGGACAAAAACTCAAAAATGCCAAAAGATAGAGAGCCGAAATTTTCAGCGAATACAGTTGGCACGTTTTTGTTTTGTACCTATACTTTCAAATCTTTCGGAAGTGTCTAGCATGGAAGCTCGGTAGGGGTCGAAATTTAGGACACGAATCATGACTGAATTTCTGAGATATTTTGCATTGTATCTTTTAAAGTATAATTATTTTGTTAACACATATTGAACAATATTTGTGCAGAACTACAAGATCTTTCATATGATGTCAGGAAAAAAGTGCTGACTTATCACATTAGGGCAAATATGGGTCAAAAGTCTTTATTCAATAACTTTTTAACAGTCAATATTTTGTTATACATTACTGCAGCAAAAATGTTTATCTTAATAATCTACAACTATACATGATGATTTTTATGTCGTATGCTACATAATTAGGGGCCAAAAGGGGTCAGAATGCTCAATCTCTGACGCTTTATATCTCGAAAGTGGGAAATAATTTGATAAGTAATATTGAACAAAAGATGCTCAACATAATGTTCTGAACAATATGCAACATTTATTTTTTCCGTAAACGTCCCCATTAAGGAGTTGAAGGGTTGGTCCCTAAATATTTCTTTTGCAAATAACTCGAAAACGAAAAAGAATCTCTGAATAGTTGTTGAACAAAAATTGTTCAAAATCTTTAGAGCTTTAAGATGAATTAAGCGCTTGGCACTCAAATTAGGGGCCAAGGGGGGCTAAAAGCCTTTAATCGATAACTCTTTATCAGTTAATATTTTGTAGTACATTACTGAAGCAAAGATGTTTATCTCAACCATTTCCAACTATACATCATGTTTTTTTTTTTATGTCGAATGGTACATAATAAGGGACCATAAGGGGCCAGAATGCTAAATCTTTGACTCTTTATATCTCAAAAGTGAGGAATTTTTTTTATAAGTAATATTGAACAAAAGATATACAAAGTTATGTTCTGAACAATATGCAACCTTTAATTTTTCGCTATACGTCCCCAATAGGGAATTGAAGGGTTGGCTCCTAAATATTTCTTCTGCAAATAACTCGAAAACGAAAAAGAATCTCTGAATAATTGTTGAACAAAAAGTGATAAAAATCCTAAGAGCTTTAGATGAAATCAAGAAAAAGGGGCTGGGCACTTAAATTAGGGGCAAAGAGGGGCTAAAAGTCTTCAATCGATAACTCTCTAGCAGTCAGTATTTTGTAATACATTACTGAAGCAAAGATGTTTATCTTAACAATCTACAGCTATACATTATGATTTAAATATCGTATGGTACATAATAAAAGGCCATAAAGGGCCAAAATGCTAAATCTTCGACGCTTTATATCTCAAAAGTGGGAAATATTTTGATAAGTAATATTGAAAAAAAAATGTTTAAAATCATGTTCTGAACAATTTGCAACCTTTAATTTTCGCTAAACGTCCCCATTAGGGAGTTGAAGGGTTGGCCCCTAAATATTTCTTTTGCAAATAACTTTTAAAACGAAAAAGAATCTCTAGATAGTTGTTGAACAAAGAGTGATCAAAATCCTGAGAGCTTTAAGATGATATGAAGATAAAAGGGCTGATCCCTAATATATGGGGCCGTGAGGGTCAAAAGTTGAATTTTTTATGTTTTTAATATTCAATGTCTTTTTACAGATTATGGAAAATCATTTTTTTAGAATGAAAATCTCAATCAAAATCTTATCTCATCTCATCAAAAATCGGACGGAAGACCCACTCGTTGCTCGCAACGAGATCGTATCTAGTTCCTTTTTCTTTTCCTTTTACGTTAACTCAAAAGATGTGGCGCTGCTGATCCAATAATATATTTTCTTTCTACAAATAACAACTCTCAAACGGTTGATGTACTTTATTTAGACTTGCATTTGATACAGTTATGAGGATTTATAAATCTTTCATTGAATTTATTACATAAATCCATGTCTTTTTTTTTTTTGGGGGGGGGGGGGTTAATCTCATTTGAACGTTTTAAAAAATATTTATTTCTCTCTATATAAATTTAAAAGCCATGATCTGGAACATGAAATATGTTTGATGTTTTTAATTGTTTAATTCATATCATGATCTTAGGATACACATTTTTTCAAAATGACTAAATGTTTGATCTTTATTTTATGTATTGTATGACTCTCACTTTCGTTGAATTAAGTATCCCTACCCACAACCTCCCCTCACTATCCACACTCAGTCCACCAGGTGTATCTCCTCCAAGTTTGCCCACACATCTGAGGAACTGTCCATTCTGATCTAGGATTTGCAGACATTTATTGAGTGGATCTGTCACAATGATATGACCCATGGAGTCTGTCACTATTTGTTCAGGACAGAATGATTTCTTTCCGCCTGGAGGCTTGTTATTGTATCTAAATTTGACTTTTCCTGTCCTGTCCACCACAACCACTGTGATAGCATTACCATCAGAGGCCACTATGTCTCCATTGTAGTTATCCACCACAAACACTGCGTTTTCTCCTCCTTGATAGATTGGATCACCATTTTCATCTTTATCTATTTCCTGTGTCACTCTCTGTCCCTGATAACGGACTATTTTATGATGACTTTTATCAGTAGTACTCATACCAACAAGGATGTCCCCTGACCTGGTACAGCACAGTCCTATTGGAATCCAGCCCTTTGGTGTAGTGATCAGTGTCTCTGTCTTCCAATCTCTGACAATGTTCACAGTTCCATTATAACCATCACTGTATATTAGTTCTCCATGTCTGGTCACCGTAATGTCATTAGGAAAATCTACACATGTACTGGTGACAGTGCCATGTACAGCTCCATGTATGTCTACACAGGTTATTATTTTGTCTTCTCCACTAATACAAGCTTTATCTGATCCTACACAGACCACTTTATATAATTTTTTAACATTTGTCGGAATGTTTGCAATCACTTTGGCCTCTTCTAATAATTCCTTAACAGATAAAAAGGAGACTACATCTGTCAGACTGGATAGTGATGTCTGTGTCAGTGTAGCCTTGTATTCTCCTAATTCTATGCTGAGTTCTCTCCCTTGGACTGAGTTTGTTTGAAATGAGGGCAATGAAAAATCAGGTATTTGTGGAATTTCCTTGTATTCCTTCAGTTTGGATTGGTAATTGTTGACATCAGACACTTTGTTGGACTTCAGGATTTCCTTGTTTTCTTGAACAGTTTGGATCATACTGGAATTCTGACTTCTGAGGTTGGACTGGCATGATTTTAGACTTGTAATTTGATGATCTCTGAGTGACTGGATCAGGGATTCCATTTTGTTAAAGATGTTGTCCACCTCTAGGTGCCAGTGTTTTCTGTTATCTTTGGTCTGTTTCTGTAAATCTGCATAATGGGCCATGGATTTGGAAAGTTTCGTTTCAGTGCTTTTGTCTTGTGCTGTGTTCTCAGAAATAATGTCCTCAATTTTCTCAGTTTCTCTTTTGATTTTTTCTCTCTTGGCAGCAATGATATCTGCCATGTCCACAATGTCATGACCTTTATGAATGGGTCCTGAAAGACATTTGATGCAGACTGGGCCATCACACTGTTGACAGTGGGCCTCACATTTCTGGTGGGAATGAGATGTACACTGAGGGAACACAAGCTGTACTGTACGCTTGGTGAAAGGAACAATGTCATGCTTCATGGACTTGAGGCTGTTGACATGTTTGTTGATACAGTCTTTACAAAGACCGACTTGGCAGCTGTTACAGAATTGCTGGACAGGTTTGACACAAAGGTCACAGGTTATGAGTTCCTGTGCCTGGCTGGTGGCAGTGGCCATTTTTATTTCTGCATTGCAACCATATCTGAAAAAGAACCATTCATATTTTACTAAAACTATCGTATCAATTAGAACAAAAATTGGTATTCTGCTTTACATGGCATTACACCGCCAATCTGATTTAACCCCCGTACTTCTCAAAAAAGACAGGATGCATATTTTTTTAACATTTGCATGGATTTCTAAAGCGATGTGATATAAAAAAAATATTTCCACTTCTGACATGATTAATAATTAAGACGGTCGTAAGCTGTAATAAAATAAAACTACCAATACCCCATGTTTACAACTATCCCAGGGTTAAAATATATAAATGTCACTAATTGACAATTTATTAAATAATTGCGAATTTCTCGGCAGTAGGCTGGATTGAGAGAGAAAATATACATAATATAATAATTACATATTAAAAAAACCGTTATATTGATATGAACCATACTTTAAAATGTACATACTTGCTTTGGCTACCTTGAAGTTTTCTTGAGGTGTTTCCAAATCTACTTTCGGTTTGTTTTTTCTTCCTGGTTTGATAATCACGTGACAGGCGTGTTTGCCATTATCGGTAACATGACCTATTATGTTTATAGTTCGTGGGCGATAAAAAATATACACTTGAACTGTGTAGAAAATTGATACCCTCTCAGCGAAACTTCAAAGCCCCTAAAGTTTTATTTCATATCTTCTAACATTTTTCTGTATTTCTTCTCCAAGCATTAATTTGAAGAAGAACACACTGCAGGGTCAAAATAAGTGGAGGAGAGGAGCAATAAGCAGTCTTTAGATGTGGCATTAAAAACAGCAAATAGGTGGCATAAATTATTGCAGTAAGGGTTGACCTTTTCAACCGCTAATGCTAAATCATCGCTTATTGATATTATTATATCATTAAGCGTCACAAATACAAAGCAGCCTTAATTACAGGTACTTGGACACAGATTTGCAATTAATATTTTCTGTATAATATCATGAGTTATATATTTTGATAGCATTTCACGCAAAAATCAATGAAAAATCTTATTCATTTAAAAGTTATTAAAACTTCAAATTTTTTGAAACAAGGAAATACGTATCTACATGATTGACCGTTAATGATGCAATCTAATGTATCATTAAGCGTTCCCATTAAAAAAAACCTGTATATTTATTGCGCACAAAAAAGTGCGCTGTATCTCGATTTATTTCTTAATTTTTTTTTTAAACTGTCATCTCAAAATATTATTAACTAGTGTTTTTAACATATTCTTTCACTGTTTCCACAAAAAAAACATTCCTTATAATTGTTTTTCATAGCCCTCCTGGCCCTGAAATTGAAATCATCGAAAATTTCGCCTAATCCTGCTGCCATTTTGGTTTGCAAGTTCATTCGGCCCAAAGCACTTCGTACAGATGTAAACTAAGAAAGTAATTTATAGAGGATTAGGACTTTATTGAAATCTAGCTTATTTGCAATTGAGGTAAGAATTTAGAAGAATTAATCCAGAACTGAGCTAACTTTTTTGTGCGCAATAAATATACAGTGCATTAAGGCACCGAGTCTCAGTCCCGTATCTGACATAATAGACCATCTGAGTTTTGTATCTTACTTAAAACATTTTTTCAATGCACTTTTGTATTGGCTATTGTCATAATACGATACTTGTGACGGTGACCAAACCAAATGAATGGGGCGCTTAAGGGTTTCAGATATTTCTTTCAAAGGGATGAATAGATTTTGAATTTAAAACCTTTACTGAACCCCAATCATATATTATTTATCGTTGTGACACTCTACGGACGCATTAAGAAGAGCTGAGCAACTTCATGATAATAAGCGATTCTGAGAGTATTGTGAAGGATCTTTTTTTAACGTATGAAGATTGTAAGTGACCTGTAGGCAAATATATTCCAGGAAAGTGCCGTTTTTGTCCCTTGGATAATGGATATCGAAAGCACCACATCTTTACGTAAATGAATTTGGAAATATATTTTGAAATTAATTTTCCGGGGAAAAAAATCGGAGTTGTATGGGATATATTAACAGATCGAGTGTAAACTTGTCCGAATGTTACCGTTCTACAATGGACCACTTTATGCGGATTTATCAGTGTTTATTTGGATGTGTTTTCTGAAAAATCACAAATTTAAAATAAGTGCTTCAATATCGGTCGTTTCAGAATCAGTGACCTGTCTGGACGGAGTGTACATTCTAATGGATTTCTGAGATACTCCTATTTTGAAGTTTCGTTGCATAAATTGGTTTCTATATAAAGTTTAAATTGGATTACGAGATGTTGATTGCTCCATTGCTTGAATTGGATTACGAGATTGTTGATTTGTATATAAAATGATGAAATATTTGTTTATTTTCTGCCTTATTCATTCGCTGTGCAAAATCTAGGTGACGCCTTCCTTTGTTTCACACAGTCCAATATTATTTTGGAGTACAATATTAGATATAATATTGTACTCCTGACAATAATATTGGACTATAGCTAGTACATTCTTTGAAATACGAGACTGTAGAAACAAAAGAATGACGTCACAAAAATGTTTTAAGGTGTGAGATAGTTTTTTGTGTATTCAAAACATAATGAAATTCATCAACAATCTAATAAAGATCACTAAATAAACAAATCTTTTGTTCTCTTGGGAGACTATTCCAACTCCCAGTTTCAATAGCGAGTTTAAAATTACATAACAAAATTGAATGTTTTCGAGGCATATTATCAAGATATCCTTTTAGTTCAAGTATTTTTTTTTTTATATAAATGCGATAATTAACACCTTGGATGAATTATAAACATTAACTTTCAAGTTTTGGATATTTTTGTCAACAATATTCTTTTATTTCATTTTTAATTAATGCTACGCTGTTGTTATGTCCATAAATAAGATAGTCCACATTCATCTAAAATGTCTTTAACATACTCAGTAGTTGGCCGAAGGCAAATTATGTCTTGATGCCGGTGCAAACATTTTGCCAAAAAATCTTTCTCATTTTAATTTCAATGATTAACTAGTAAGTGAAAATTGGCCAAGTTCCCAATATACCATGTACTTTGGCGTTTTAGTGTGGGACATATGGAGATAACAAACGTCAAGTTCCCTTACTTATGCAGAAATATACCTTCATCACCTGCATACGGGTCGATTCTATGGTCGAAACAATGATATTGTAAGCAAATACAATTTATCATTGAGTCAAATGCTGACTGACTTTTTTCATACCAATTGTTAGTCCATTATTTATACACTGATTTGACAACGGATTTTTCCGTTATTTCCCGTTCAGGAAAAAGAGCACACGGGTGTGACCAGTCGGCAGGGGATGCTCACTCTTAAATGACACATGATCCAACCTCTGCTGTATTGGAGGTCCGTTTTTGCTCTGCTCCTGTTTAGTATTGTTTTATTGATTTTGATCTTGAATACTGTTCGTTTTTTTCATGTGCTTCTCTCAGACAATGGACATTGTTCGAGCTAACAGTTCAATTTAACAATACAAAGAGGGAACAGAGCAAACATGAACCTCTAAAACATCAGAGGTGTGATTTGCTGCTGTGTAGGAGTAAGCATCCCTGGACACACTTGCTGTATGCTTCTTGTCATGAACCGGTAAACAGAAAAATCCTTAGAAACTTATGTAAATAGTAATCTAACAATAATTATAAAAACGTTAATCAGCATTTGGCCTAATGATAAATTGTATTTGCTGATAAGGTCATTGTATTAAACATACGTGTGTATCGAATCAACGGAGAGACATACCCCATTTACAAAAGATACGCCTTGAGTATATTGCCTCAAATAAAGTCAGGTAAGATAATAATAGAAAAGTTGAAGTCATTACATTTATCTTAAAGTTTTGTTTTTAGGATAACATAGATCACTTTCTAGTAAAAATATCCAAATATGAAACAGATTTGTCAGACTCTGTGATTTCTTTTATTTCAAGCTCACATCAAGCTCATATCCAATCGACATATAGATGGACATAGCTATTAATTGATAATAAGTCGTCCATGAATCTAAATATCAAGTTGAAGCAAAACAGCAAACGTTTCCTATTCTCTTGTAGAAGATTTTGTACAAACCATGAGCTTCCAACAAATTATTGGAAAGACACAGACTGGACCTCATTACGACTTGTATCTAAATGTTTTGCAAAATTGCATTAAACACTGCTTTGCAAATGGTTTTCATCTTTTTGAGCTTGAATTCTGTTCGTTTTAACCATTTATTTTATTTTGTAAAACAGGTCCCTGATTTCAAACACTACATAGTTATTGTCAAGCAGAAACTCAAGCATCTTTTCTATATCAACTTTATAGTACTTGTTTGTATAAACCGAATGTTTTTAAACATAATAATTTTGCAAATGACCAATGACAAGGTAAGTGCGTGTTCAATTTTTATTGAAAAAGCAGCCCGCCGTCTACAATGTCAAGCCTGGACTTTGATTTATCAAGAGAAATGGTTGCATAAAATGTTGTAAAGTTGAACATGTTGATGTTATTTATTTTATTCAAATTTTCAAAAAGTTTTCACGTATGCACATCACATGTACTATAATAGAATAATAACAGCCGTATTGTTTCAGTCTTTCTACCTGTCACTCCGCCCGACTGTGTTGACATTTTCGATTTGTTCTCAAGAACTACGTGGCTGTTTTCTCCAAACATTCTACAAAAGTAATGACTGGTGATATAGAAGCATCTTCATATAGTGTAGATTCAAGATTGTTCAAATGATCAACCCCAAGGGTAGAGCAGATCGACATCTTTAAAAATATATCTCAAGAGACGCAAAACCATGAAATTTCATATTGATTTTGAAACATCCTCAGGTAGTGTAGATTCGAGTTAATTCAAATCCTGACTTCCGGGGGTAGGGTGTGCCATAATTGATCGTCAAAGTATAACATAAAATATACAGTAAAAATCTCATAAAATCATCTTGTCATTAAAAGCAGTCATGATAAGTGATATTGATACAAAAGTATCCTCAGATAATGTAGAAAATTTGTTCGAATCTTTACCTCCAAATTTAGGATGGGTGATGCACTTTCTAACAACTGAAAAATATGTCTTTGTCGACATTTCAACCATTTTATTTCCAGCACTTGCATGGGGCTTCATCAAGTACTTTAAATGCAAGGTCTACTAGATGACAAGAGTTTTCGACCTTCCTTTACAATATACACCAGGATTTTTGAACTTTTTCAATATACATGTACATATACTGGCCTTTAACATTGTTTAAGCCCATCCCTTCAGGATTTGCTGGACGTATGGGTCCTTATTTCACTAAAAATAGTTGAAGATTAAATGTTTATAAAAATCATGCAGAACATCTTGTCTGCTTCATAAACACCATGGAAAACAGTTAAAAATTGCACGTAATTTTGATAGTTTTGGTTTGAGATTTTAGGACCCGGAGAATTGAGACACTGTGACTCTGTAATGCAATTAGTAACATAACGTCACATACACCGCTTAACCGTCAGATTGAATCCAGTTCATATCCTAACACTCCAACATTCATCATCCGACACCCTTCCTTTACTGTATAACCTTATGTCTTCTCATTGTTTAGTATATCCTTTCGTCACTTGGCCTGTATTATAGCGTCCCTGCAACGCATACATTACTTAATATCTTTTCTCTTCCACGTCTCCCAGCAAAATTTGTATTGATAGTCAATTGTATGGGTCCGGGCTAATTTCTGCTGGATTTCACAGTAGCGTTCTACGGGTCGCTTAAGGTGTGGCAGAGACGGGTGGGTCGCAAACTGCACGTGTTTGATGCGGGAAATTAAACCACTGGAAATTAGGGTCTCTAGAATGTCGAATTCACAACCTTCACAGTTAATGGTGATCAGATCTACATCCAGACATTGAACACCGAGTCGATAAATGACGTCAGTGGTATTAAAAACCCTGAGCTCACATTGCCCGCCCTTGTTCTCTGTAAAAACAGACGTGGCATCACCACCGTGCCCGACAACATTCACGTAAAATATGTCGTTTTTGGAAGCTATTCCAAAGTTATACAATATAACATTTTTATATTCTCGAAACTTCTCCACTAGCGATGTAAAGAGAGAGTTGATTGGCTCCAGAATTACATAAGTGCCCGGATGGTAAGCTTGTATCATTGCATCAGCATCCTCGCCCTTGTTTCCGCCAATATCAAGAACTATACTGTCCGAGTTTAGATATTTATGGTGTGTATGGCGGATGTACTGAGTTTCTCCTTCCCAGAATTTTCCATTTCCACGCGCATGGTCAAGTTTGAAGTTTCCTACACACCTATTTTTACGATGCATCTCTCTTGCAGTCAACTTCTTATCGCGCTTGGGGAATCCCTCACAGTATCCCTCTTTTGTAAATTTTGGTGAAAGCTTTGGAAGCAAAGACTTTACAGATTCTATTTTGGACAGCTCGGTGAAGTTCCTCTGGCACGGATCACTGACTTGGACTGTTCTCGCTTCGTTATAACTTGTGATCCAGGAAGTCGAGAAGTACATCACGGCTCCTACGCCCAGTACTAACAAGGCGAGCTTAACCACCCGTGAGCCTCGCATGCTGGCAGTCATAGTCTTTATAAATGGTGTAAAACCTGTTAAAAATAAACATATACTTAGCAAATGATTAAATTTCAAAAAGGCTGCAACCAAATGGTATTCCCCCGTATGAGTCAAATTTTCAAAATGTTTTTTTTTACTTTATAGACGATTAACATTAATTTTTAATACTTAAGTTTCTCTTCATTAAAAGGCAGCAAAGAATCCTATTTCAGTATCAATGCAACATCTATCTTAAAAAGATATTTCCTTTCAGTATTCAACAAGTTCAAATGATGACACGGATAAAAAAAAATGTGCTTGTGTCCTTTAAGACCTTTCAGATTCGAAGAATAATTTTTAAAAAATCTCAGTTTTGATCATGATCAGAGTTAGTGTCCTCGGCAAAAATTTAAATTATTCAATTAAAATTTGTATGATTAATTAATTGCTAAATCTTTTTGTAGAGGACATTAGGGTAATAATAACTCTTTCAATTGTCTATTTTTCCGTAATGATTTTTGTGTAAGTCGTTTCCGTTTTGCGAGAAGGAAATTAAAGTCGTTTTTGAGAGAGTTTAATGCTAGATTGAAGATTGACCGTTTCTTGAATAAGGCTGCAGCTAGTGAATCTAGATTTTTTATTCGTCTTTAACATCTTATTAATTACATAATAAACATTAAAGTTGTACTGAAATACTATGATCTTCAATTAACGGAAAGCTTCGAAAATCTAGTTATTTATATAAAAAAGAATTACTGGCCCATTAGTTAATGAAATGAATGCTAACATAGTTGAATGAAGATCGTATTTTAATCCCACATGGGTCTATTTGCTTTAATCTTTGCGTAGAAACCCTTATATGCATTAAAACAAGCTAGATTAATTATAATTTCGAAATCAAGTATTTTTTAAATCTTACTATGTTCTCTATTAATTAATGCATATATGTAATCGTGTATACATTGTAAAATCTCCGTCATAAGAAAGTAAAATTAAAAACAACTTCCTTAAAACAGAGTTTTATAGTATTCAACTCAAAACATCCTCTCAGACCTAATTAAATTGAGTCATCTCTCTCTCTCCCCTTTCTCTCTCTCTTCGTGCACTGTAAATCTTTCTACATTTTTTTTTGTTAATACATCACGTGTATTTATCATGTTTATTGTTCATTTTCGTTGTTTAAAAAAAATGTATCCTATCCAATGATCTTTGTATTGCTAAAATACATTTTTAAATGTCTTGTTAATGTCAAGGAATCATTACTGTTTTTACACTCATTCCTTCTAAAGACACTATCGTCCGTTCACATCTACTCCTCAATATTTTATATAACGCTTTGACCATAGCGATCGCCCAAGATTTATGAAATAAAACACTTTTCCTCTACATGTATTTTACAGGACTTTGCCTGGTCTTACATCGTTTCTCTATTTTAAAACATCTCAACAACATGAACAATGGCCGGTTCCCCAAACAACGAACACGTGTCTAATTCTTACAATGTACATACTTATCAAGAAGCTATGTTATCATGATACTGACGATAATCAAAATATTCGTGTATATTTAAAAAAGATACGGGAAAAACTAAAATATACAACATTTAACATCACATATACATGTATGAAACATTACATAGTTACTCACTGTGGTTAGGGTTCTCACGAGTAAAAATCCTAAAATTAGGTCATCACATCTCTGCTACAGCTTCAACTGAAAACATGCATGATCTCATCTTCCGCCCTCGGTGATTAATGTCGATGATCAGCTGTCAAACACCCCCCTGGCGATTCACGCTCATACACACACCCTATCACCCTGTCGGACAAGTTGGTATACACATTCAGAGTGTGTAGTGAAATGCCTGACTTTGACCCCCGGGGCTCAACTGTATAATAATTGCACTTACTTCTCTGTAAACATAAACAATACCGGTTAAGATTTTTGAACCATTTTTGTCCTATTTGGATGACGATGATGATAAATTTCCATTTCCTCAAAATATCGACATATTTAAGAATATATTTAAGAATATTTCCTTGTCGAAGTATGGATGTGAATATCGTTATTTGATAAATCATTCCTCATCGTTTATAAATTACTTAATGTACTCTGTCATAATTAAGTGTGTCTCATATCTGTTTATTTTGCACGTTCCCTACTTATTACTCATCTTAAATGCTAAAAAACTGGAATGTAATTGTAATAAATTTTTTAGCAATTTGTTATGTAGCCTTTGATAGTATGTTCGAACAAAATGAAAAATGTAGTACACATACACAAAAACATAATAGGAAAACAAGATAACACATTTTCGTCTGCAATAAAAATCTAAAAGTTCAAATCTGTGGAGAGTCCTGTCATTGTTTATGTTTATAATTTATTTTATGCATAAATATTTCGATAATTTAATGAGAGAGATGTGGAATAAAATTAAAAATCTATTCAAGTTGAAATAAATATTTATGATAAAAATAAAGATATTTTAATTTAAAAAGAAACAAGAAAACATTGATGTAACTGTCATGTTGTAAATTTTGTATTTACTGCCACCCGGTAAATTCAAAATTTACAACATGACATAACCATCAATTGTCGCCCGGGAAATAAATAAAGTAAACAATGGAAATGAGTCTGGATCATCAAACTGCTTCGATATGGGTGAAAAAGGCATGCGACTTAAGGACAGATGAGACAAACAAATTCTTTCTTTGGAATAGATTTAATATCATGTCACAAGTTTAGAAGAGTGGATAATTCATAGCATTTTTTTCTTAGAACTGGAAAATGAAATAAACTTGGAAAATATTACTAATGTTTCATTAAAAACATACGTATAGACAAATAACACTCAGTAAAGGTTTACAGGTGAAAACAAATTTCAGAATATGTTACCTTGGTGCTAGAAGTGTAATAAAACTTTAAAAAAATATACCAAGCCAGGTGAATTTTATGAGGAAATACAAAATGACAAAAAATAAGGAATAAAACATAGGCTGAGTTTTACCATTTTGCTTTTCTTAATAAAATTCACCTGGCTTGGTATATTTTTCTAAAGTTTAAATTACACTTCACAATTTGTACGGAAACGTCAAGACAAAAACATTGTATTGACCATAGAATGAAATATATGGAGATAACAAGCAGCATTCAAGCTCAACAGTCCATAAAACAATACAAAAAAGGAGAAGAGCAAACACAGACCTCCAAAACATCAGAGATGGGATCAGGTGCCATTGAGGATTTTAAAATATGTAGGCGATTTATCTAAATAATGATTGATTGATTGTATTGTGTTTAATGCCCCTCACGAGAATTTTTGACTTATATGGAGACGCCACCACTTGCTGGTGGAGAGCTGCAAATGTTGTCCTTTACTCGGAACTTAGGGCCATTATGCAGGGAGAGATATTTTTCGTACCAGCACCTACTGCGACCTCGGGTTTATACGGTCTCATCCAAAGGACCGGTCTCCACGCCCCACAGTGGGATTCGAACCCGCGACGTAATTATCAACTCTTTACTTCGCGACCCTAGAGCAGACGATTTAACCACTGTGCCACTAAATAATAAATATTCATTTAAGAATATTTACACAGCAATATACTTCTTTTTTTCCTGTATAAGATTGTGAATAAATGTTGCATTATTTTAATTTTAAAAATGTTTGCTAATAAGACGTAATGGGGTGGCCATGGTGGTGTTGCATACCCTTATGACTTGCATACGATGTTTAAACATGTATCTCTCAGTTGATTAGATACGCAAGAGCATGCTCTACACATAGAGAACTTTTAAACCGCAGTAATCTATTGACAAACAATTTGATGAAACAAGCATAACAGCAGTCTTGTTTAAAGTCATCATTTCGTAAGTTCTATGGTCGATACAATGACCTGTTCAGGAAATAAAATCTATCGTTATGTCAAATAATGAAAGACGTTTTTCATATTAATTGTAAGACCGTTATTTACACACTGAATTGACGACGGATTTTCCGATCATGCCAAGGAGCACACTGCGGGTGTGACCAGTCGACACGAGATCGAATGTTCACTCCTTCATGGCACCTGATCCCATCTCTGATGTTTTTGAGATCCGTGTTTGCTCTCTAGTTATTTTGTTTTGTTTAATGGACTTTTAAGCTCAAAATCTGCTCGTTATCTACATATATTTCATTCATGTACATTAAAAACGTGCATACCATTCTATTACAGTTAGTCTATTTGTTTAATCGCCTCAAACTCAAAACGTGACAATTTGAATTGTTTATCATCCACCGTCACGAAATTTTTCGATGAATAATGGTTGTATATAATTATAAGTCGTCATGTTGTGTCATCAGACTTTCTCCTCATAACCAGAGACAACAACACAAATCGAAATTCCGCTCCAACCGTTGATAATCAGCTCAAATGTGACTCAAACGGAATTGATTTTGTGATCATGAAGATATCATTAAAATATTTTATAACAAAAAAAAAAAAAAACCCACGAAAACTACGGAAATCTTTTTCTTTTGCCAAATACACGAAATTGAACACATAAAATCCTCTCTTAACACAGTCTTTTTATTGGTAATACTGCGCGACCTTCCAATGGAAAACATAGGCGATAGGTGCACTGAACGTATCAATAATATACAAGGGCTGTTCGAAGATTATTGAGACATTGTGTATATTTTGCTTTCTTAAGAACGTCTTTCGGTGAAAATTTGCATATACGGTTGACATACACTTAGAATTAATAAAAGCAAGAAATATTTTACAAATGTTAAATATTTTCACTACAGTAGTATATAAATGCGTGAAAAGTAGGGGTACCCGGAGCAGTCACGAAATCAGGTATTGGAAATATGCAACACCAACGTTCTATCTTATGATAAAAATAAAACAATTTAGTTTAAAAAGGCTTAAACGTTCTTGTTGACAAACCAATCGTGTAGAATTTTTGGTGCATCGTGCGTGATCGTTCGTGTAACGTGCGAGATCGTGCGTGTATCAGACTCAGTCGTTTGCGGTTTTAATCGTGCGCGATCGTGCGTTTAGAAACCAATCTCTCACCAGAGGGCGTTTACGCTCCTCCGCTCCAACACGCCATAAATAAGCGGAGCGCGCCCTCTGGTGCGAGTTTGGTTTAGAAACGTGTAAAATTTCGTTTTGTAAGTTTTTATCGGAATGTTGATAATAGAACAAGCAGTTCCCTTGTTTTTTTTATATTTATTTATTTAAATCAAAATAAAATGAATGAAGCGCATTTTACATAATTGAATGCAGAACGAACTAACTATCGCTCGTAAACAAGCAATAGAGTAGGTCGTACACTGTTAAGTTCTCGTCATATAGCGCGATCAATATTGTGATAAACCGTACTTATATATTTTTTTATGTGATTTTAATTCTTGTTTACTGCTATTTGTGGTCAGTAAATTTTTAAAATCAATACGTCAAAAATAATTATTTTTACAAATAAATAAACATTACTCAAGATTCCATAAATGTTTAGTCAACGAATTGACATGCACATGAAATGATTTTCGGGGTTCTGTTTATCTGTGTTTTTCTCTGGAGCTTACTTTTAATTATTCTTTTAATATCTGCAAATAAAAAAAATTAAATAAATGGAAAGTTCATTTTTAGAGATTCACATACATTGAATCAATGGAAGCATACGGATATAATTTGAAATAAATTCAAGTCATTCCATGCTGCCATTTTTCTTTTCAATCGTATCCCCCTTTCTGCATATCATGAAATCAAATTCAGTCATATTTTACGGTCCACATACATACATGTACATCTTCTGATAGAACGAAAAAAAAATCCGTTAATTTTATATAATCTAAAATATTAAGTCTTACATGTATTAAGTTACAGAAATATCCATTTCCGTTTTTTTCAAAGTCTATGAAATGATATTGATAATTCTTTGAAATTTTAAATTAGTATCAAGCCGTTTTTCGTTTTGAAAATATCGATTCCTAAATATTTTGAACTATTTTGAGAGAAGAATCGTGCGTTTGCGTTAGCAATCGTGTAAGATCGTGTAACGTGTAGAATCGTGTGCGTGAAAAATCGTTCGTGTAACAGGTTTAATCGTGCGTTAATCGTGCGGAATCGTTCGTGTAATGTGATCGCTCGTGTAAGTTGTCAACAAATAACGTTGCAGCCACTGTAAGTGCATAATTTTTCTACTTAATTCATTTCAAATTCATGTTGTGCGGAATCGTTCGTGTAATGTGATCGCTCGTGTAAGTTGTCAACAAATAACGTTGCAGCCACTGTAAGTGCATAATTTTTCTACTTAATTCATTTCAAATTCATGTTGTGCAACTTTTATAGAAATTTGATCAGACATATGGAGACCGTAAAAAAATTAAGCGCGGTAGAGAAATCTGCTAACAACGACAAAATGGACTTTGACGTCAAGGGCGGAGCAACCAGCATACCTATATTTTGTGTAGCGCAATGTAGATCTCTTTTCCAGACTAAACGATCTGCTAAAACAATAACAACGAGAAGAAAAATGGTGTGTTATAGTTTGTTACTTCATTGGTACACATAATTTTACAATGAATTTAACAAGAGTAAAATTAAAAGTCCTAGACGACCATGAGTTTTTACGTACGGTATTAATATAGTTACGGTATTAAACCCACGTTGCATAAATCGGCACTGCATGATTCTAAGTCATCCTTTCCCACAAATAAATCACTGAGGTAGCAACATCATACATTTTTCAAAGAATAGTTTAAGAAAAGAGAATTGATTTTTGTAGTTATATGTAATAACAAAGAAAGAACAGTATTAAAGGCTTACCAATCGTTTCACATGCGAAACATCTCCGGCTGACGCGTGACATTAAATGACGTAGCGATGCTGCTGCGGGTCGATAGACATATGCATGTTTATTATTTCACCGAAACTTATCTAATTATCATAGGAATTAGAAATTTTGCATACGTCATTCTTCATAAAATGTCGATGAATTTTCATGAAATTATCTTCGTCTTTTATGAAGTAAATGTAATTGTCACAATAATTTCCGAACAGCCCTCGTAAATGACCATGTTATGCTGCAACAGAAAATTACAATCTTTAGTAGAATTCACACTGTTAATAATATAAATTAAAGTCCAGGATTTTTTTTTTTACCTCATTGACATTTGCTTTTTCAATAAAAATGATACTCGTAAATCTATTTTTCTTGTCAATTGACATTTGTAATATCGTTATGTTAAATGCATTCTGTACATATAGAACCTTGAAAGGTGATATCAAACAAATGCTGGAGTTTCTGATTGACAAATTCTATGTGGTTAAAAGAAACTATGTTTTCTCAAAACTCTCGGTTTTCCAGTGGTACCATTTTCACAACGTTATTAGCAGACACATTTTTGAATCATATGAAGCAGAATCATTCAAAATCTGTACATCAGAAAAGAAAATAAATTGTTCTGTCTTCGATTCGACATTTAGATATAGGAAATATAATTAATCATTAAGTCAAATGCTGACTGATGTTTTTCATACTTATTAATTAACTAACATTAATAAGCACATAGGTCTGCTAAATCAATGCTTTATAAACAAAACAGATTTAGAGCGGATAAAACATAAACCTCTAACGACATCAAAAGTGGGATCAGGTACCTTGAAGGAGTAAGCATCTCTAACGTAGAGCATGTTCTTGCCTATCGAATCGACTGAGATACATCAACCACGTACGCGAATGATAAGGGTATATACCACCACCATTACGTTTTATTTGCTTTTATTTTCTCCGTATACAGGTTATGAGGGTAAATTGCTGAATAAGTAAGGGGAAGTTGACGATTGAAAAGTTAAAGTAATCCCGTTTATCATAGAGCTTGGTAGTTGTATCACCATTAAAGGGGCATAGACACAGTTTCAGTTAAATTTTCAAATTTTATTTTTCCACTTTTAAACATATTTAACTAGGGTCTTTCTAATAATCGTCAAAAATTTGAACGGCAAATGTCGATATACAAGACAGATTTATAGCTCCAAACCATTATTATGCAAACAAGGTCCGTGTCATGTTTTTGTTTACATAGGTTAATATACTAATATTATGTTCGTTCAAAGTAGATAATTTCAATAAAAAAGTTAATTTTAAATGCGATTCAACAGTTTCTATTGATGTACTGAATTTCATTTTGTTATAGATATATATAATATTTTCTATATGTAAACAAAAACAAGGCACGAGCTTGTTTACATTATGAAGAACTTTAAGTTCTGTATCTCGTTTGTTAATCAACAAATATTGTTCAAAGTTTTGCTAATCATTAGATGAAGCCTTAGGTAGGAATAGTAAACATTAAAATTGGTTTTGAAAATTCAGTGGAAACTGTGTCCATGCCCCTTTAACGTCACTTTCAAGTGGAATATATTTCCAAGAATGAAACAAGATGTGTCAGACTCTGTGGTATCTTTTATCTCAAGCTCACCAGGATATATCCTATCGACATGAGAATGGAAATTACCATTGTAAACTACAATGAAACAATATTCAATTAACATCCGACACTCAAAAGGCACGGAGAAGTTAAGTCGTTTCTGGTAGGAGTTGTTTCGCTTTATACTGTATCAATTATAATTTATACAGCTTGTAGATATACACGAAAAGTAGTTGATAATTTTTAATCATTAACACACTTAGAATAACAAATTTATCATGTGTTAACTGTAAATATAAAATATACCTAATCTTGTTTTCAATGTATCTAATAATTCACTTATCTCCGTTGTAAATGATATCATACATAGATTCAAACGATTGATCAATGGAATTTAATATTAATAAACTCAATATCTTCTGTTATATCCATGAAAATGATAACGAAGATTTTAAAAGTAGAATCAGCTCCATTTTAATTACCATTGCCACAGACAAATTGTCAAGGTAGAAAGTCCTATCTGTTCAAAAAACATGGCGTCACATCGAAGTGTATGTATTTTTACATCAATTTTAACTTATTCTTTCTTATGTTAGTCAAAACACGCAGATAAATGCCAATTCTTTCAAAGCGCAGATTTCAGAAACAATAATTCTTAGGAAAAAAGGACAATTATGTCGATATGAACTCAGGTATCTTGACAAATTAATCAGGAAATTGGTTACATTTTTGCACTATTTTATTTTGATTACTAAAAAAACACTTTGAAAATGACATATCTTATGTAGAGTGAAAACCACAAATAAGTGAAGAATAGAGAAATACTTAATATAGTAAAATACTCACATATCATAAACATGCATAGTTAAGACAATTATCACAGTCAAACTCTAGGACGGATCTAGGCACAGTGACACCGAGAAATATAAGTACAATACTATCAATGGTAGTAAATAGAAAATGTCGTCACACTTAATATCACAGCATCACATCACAGAGGGTATGGATACAAAAATAGTTTTATATGATAAAAAGATGAAAATTTTAAATTCCCATACAAATAAAAGTTTTGCAAAATTTACCAAAACTACATAAAACTAGCAATGTAAAATCAACTCTTATATGAAAAAACAGATTCAAAAATGATTTCAGAAAAAAATATTCCTCGTCGTTTTTTCACACAGTACATATCTAAATTTCTTTATATACACATCTGGAGTTAGGTCTTAATTAAGTGGAAAATTACACGAATCTCTTCTTAATCATTCATTGTTCAATATAATTATGATAATTAATTTTATTTTTAAGGCTCTGCATGAGCAAGCAATGACCTTGTTCCTGATTGTGACATTACATAGCACAACGTTATGTTGAATTACTGGTCAATGGTACTGAATCTTTGTTCCTCAAATCAGCTTCACTATCACTCACACGCCCTTTGACCCTAAATGAGAAATAAATCCAGACACAAGGTTAGTTAATTGCATATTATCAGTAAGACTGCAAAAGAATTTAACTGCATTAAAATAGAAAATTAACATGTTTTATAAGGATGAACAGAAATAATTTTTTTTCAAAAAAATTAATCTTCTGTTCAACGGTAATTCTCAATAATTTGTTATCTAACCTTTTATACATTTTGATGTAGAGGATAAGACCGACGATTATAGCAATGACAAGGATGCCTCCGATGACAGCTCCGGCGATGATTCCAGCATTGTTATCTGAAAGTGTACACATGTATCACAATTATTTAATAGGGGAACAAAGGAATACTACATACCTCAAATGTTTCATACAAAAAAAAGCTTACCAGATTCGGGCTCAGCAGCTGTGACCTGTAATAAAAGCAAAAAATACTTTTTTATGATAAGATTTAAAGACGATATTTCTTTTCTGGATTTTTAAAAAATACAAATACCAGTGTGAATATCAATGAAATATATGGGATAACAAACAGTAGTCAAGTTTAAAAGTCCATTTAACAATACCAAATTGGAATATATTAAATTATACACTAAATTAAAAGTATTTTACATTGTCATTTACGACGACTGAGCTGCTACTAACAATGTTATGGCATGTCATTAAATGTATCTCAGTATCTGAGTCTATATATATATATATATATATATATATATATTAGATCTAATATCTCAATTTCATTAAAAATAGTTGCCATCTCAAAAGATTTTCTTTTCGCTTGAAATTAAACATCCAAGTTAAATCAGCTCGACTAAATTTATTCATATTGTTTAACCGTCTCTAACCTATCCAATATTTGGCATTAAAAACTTATAGGAACACAATGGTTAATCACACGGAAAAGTTTCCAGAAGGTAAGTTACAGTCATATAATTTAATTTTAGATGTAAATCATCATTTGATTCGGTGAAAGATTTAATTCATTTCGTATAATATAACTTGCTTACGCCACAATGAGTATCGTCAAAAACGTATTTCTCCACTTGACGTTACATTTAAAATATGCTAAATTTCAAGCCTTTTTCCGAAAAAATTTATACACTGAAACTAAATTTGAAAAATTTTCAACTTTTGTTTTACGATATAACATAAATTTGGTCAGTTTACGCTTTCTTCTAAACCGCTTCGCGGTTTATTAAGCATAACCTGCCCATAAAGTTATGTTATATCGTAGATCAAAAATTGAAATGATTCATTCCTTAAATAAATATTGTGGCCAGGAGTTCATTTTTAAAACTTTACCCTAAAATGAAAAAAGGACAAAGAATAAGACTAACGTGTAACAGTTGAAATACGGCCACTGAAATGTATGACAGCTGAGATGATTTCAACTTCTCTTATTGACCTAGGAATATTCAGCTATCACCTGTATATGGTGTTTTGTTTCCCAATTTAATTTTTAAGCTGGGCAGGCGGCTAACACACACATTAATGTTGGAAAGTATTCAACAATATTGTTTAAAGTTAATATCTATAAAAAAGATCTATGTTCGTAATAACAACCTTGTTAAAAATACAACTAACACTGGGACGTAATTTGAATGACTCGTATTGTATCAATTTTAAGGCCTTTTTTCTGTACTTAATTTGAATACAGGAATTTTTTGTTTAGTTCATCAATACATGGGGCTCAGGAACAATTTGACCGGTCAACAGGGGATGTTTATTCCTTATAGGCACTTAATTAATCCCATCCCCAGGGGCCCGTGCTTATTACATTCTAATGTATTTGTATTCTTTCATGTTTTTTATGAGATTGATCATATATATTCTATTCTATATAACCATTGAAACAATGGAGATAACGAACAGTAATCAAGATCAAAAGTCGATAGAACAATACAAGAGCAGAGCAAACACAGACATCCAAAACATCAGAGGAGGGATCAGGTGCCATGAAGGAGTGAGCATCCCCTGCCGATTGGTCAGGCGGTCACACCCGCCGTGTGTTCCTTGTCATGATCGGAAAATAACGATAAAAGACTAGTAATGGACCAAAAAAGGAAGTTAAGTCTTCTGTCGTAAATTAATTAATGATAATACTGTACCTTTGGGAGTTTTACTCACGTTATCAAGTAAATAATGGCGACTTGTATTTTTCCTATGTGGGTTTTACTAAGATGGAGTAAAATCTGATGAGTTTATCGGTTAAGACACCAGCCACCCACTGATACTGACCTTGCTGATACAGACTGATACTGACCTTGCTGATACAGACTGATACTGACCTTGCTGATACAGACGAAGGTCGTGGTGTCACATGACTTGGCTGTACTGTCAAACAGCAGAATGACGACAGGGTCGCCATACGTCGTGTTGTCGTAGCTCAACTGAATGTCCCATCCATGTACGTCACCTGCGGTAGAACGTTTGCGCCTGCGTGCAGTCGGGGGACTTGGAATGGTCACCGTTATGAGGTTAATATGCCGGTACTGCACTTCTGCAAATACTTCATGGGTCGAATTCTCTCTACCGCTAGGTGTGGCCTTAAAAATGTTATTTTTTAAGATGAAGATTTATAAAGAAAAATTCTTATCGATATAATTAAAAAAATGATAAGATAGTGAAATATAATGAAAACTTATTTTAAACGTCATTTATTTGATAAAGCGAAAGTACAAATAATAATTTTTGATAGTTAGGTGAAAGAATGCAAAAAAATTATATTCGTGATATTGAATTTTGAATCATGGTTGCGTGAGAATAAACAGTGCTGGGAGACAGACAGCTTCATACTGTGTACTCTAATATCCCAAGACGGACATTTTATAATCACTTTGTGACATTTAAAAATGGCCAGAATGTGTTGCTCCCACTGTTCATACATCAGTCCGGTATAAAATTTACTAGATTGCATGTGCTTTGTCATTTCTGCCATAAATAATGAAGCGTGACCCAAATTTGCGACATTTGAATAGAACCTCTATATATGATACTTGGAATTTTGAAATGTTTGAAATTTCAATACTCTTGGGATATTATTTGTTATTGAAACTTTAAAGACATTAATTAAATTAAGTTTACATCATACTGGATTTCATTACGTCTTCATCACGTGCATTTAAATGCCCCAAAATTCAGCTGTAAACTGGGGTATACCTTGAAATAACTACATTTGGCAATAATAGTCTCGCTGTAGAACGTCCCCACAATGTTGGTCTTCTGACACGCGCGCACACTAGTGTCACAGACCCCCTGTTTAGGAATCGTGATGTTTGCAGGCGGTGTTGATAGTTCTACAGAACAGTCCTCTCCTATATATCCCGAGCTACAACTGCACGTCTCTGTAAACAAAACAATTCAATAAATAATTTCACAGAATGCTATACGCAATCGGGGTTTAACCCTACGGCTCCAATTCCGTGAAAAAGTGGGTGAAATTTTGTCAGTTTCTTTTTTTAATTCAATAATGGTCACCAAAAAGAGATGTTACCATTGACGCAGACTCCTTGTCCTGAGCAGTTATTAGGACAAACTAATGACCTCAGAAGGTCAAGGATACTCCCCCCATCGTCGGTGGTTGAGTTGCTAAACTGTGAGTCCCGAGAGGCTGTTGTTACGCACTCCTTCTTCAATGTGTCCAAGGTCGCTTGAAGAAAATCTGAGTTTCCAATCATCTAAATAAATAGTAAATATTTCTTCAGAAATGACTATTTAAACAAAGTCAGAAATAACGTTAACATTATGACCCTGACCTATGATAAAGTGACCTTTATCTAACCTTGATGTCCTCCACACAGCCATTAACGTACTTTGCCACGCTTGTGTTGACCTTTTCAATACACGTCACCACCGCCAAATCATGTGTAAAGGATTCATTGCAAAATCTCGTGGCATTCTCTTCGTTCCAACCATTTGTCCAATCAGTGACCTTAAAATTATAAAAAAAATAAAAATTCAAATCGAAGAAAATTATCTTATCAGTAATGCTTCACTCTATATTAAAAAGTTAAGCTCCCTTACGTTAAGTTCGATGCTAGGACTAAAATCCGGATCATATCCAAATTCTATCTCATCTATGACGTCATCGGAATCGGCAGTACTGCGCCTGCGTCTGTTTAGGGAGCAGACGTTAACTGTTTGACCGGCCTTGTCCGAACATGGTTCTGTTGGAGCCTCAAGGTTACACGTTGCATAGTTGGGATCGAATGGGACATTAAAATACTGATCATAGAATTGGTAATACGAGGAACACGTACAGTACCTCTCTAGACTTTGTGGTGTGCTGCCGCCCGTCCTAGAATTTGAGTTGTAAAAGTCTTTAAATGACCAAATACATTGATAATGCTGTGTCGACATTTACAACAATGTTGGCAAATAAATAATAATTTGAAGGTCCACTTACGAAGTTCCATAAATGACATCAGGGTTTTTCTTGAAGAGACTATCGGAAGCACCAATGTCAACCCTTCAATTAATAAAAAATCAGTATGTGCAATAAATTTAATTGCAAGGACATATTAAAGTCAAATTTATTTTTACAGAAAATTATTATCTATAATTCAAAAAAAATCATATCGATGTAAAGTGAAAAAGCATTGGTAAATTTCATTGTTTCACATTTCAACTCGATTTAAAGTTTAAGTTTTTACCTCCAAGATAGAGCGAATGTTCTTTCGTCATTTGTGTGAGTATTACTATCTTTTGGTACGAAGTCGTTGCTATTATTGTTATCGTAAAAGCCACATATACCCTCCGTGTTTTGAAAGTCGGATGGAGAAGCCACAATCTGTACATAGTCTATCCAGTGGGACCACGAATTAAAGGAGAAAGACACCTCTGTACCGCTGGGTAATGTTACCTGTTCAAAAGTAAAGATACGGGTATAATTTGATGTTCAGTAATCTTACCTGTTTACGTATAAAGATTCTGAAATTAAAGATACCGGTATTTATGAACGTGTACAATAGTCAGAAGTTGACTTTAAGCAACGGTTTATTGTTCTACAATGTAATAATGAGTTTTAAATGCAAAATGCAGTTTCTTTTTTTTTAATTTCAAAGCGAATTTGAAATCTAAAAAAGCAAAGCAAGGCATAGCTCAGTACAGCTTATATATTGTTTGTTTCTTTGTGTTGCAGCAAGTTCTTCAGTCATATGAAATGTCTTACCCTGTAATTGGTGCCGAGTTTTTGTACAGTGATTTCGTCCTCCTGGCTACACCCGTCATACCTCTCGTACGGGTAACTTAGGAGGTTTACTCTTTGAAAGGAGACCTCAATGCATGTCCGAACCACGTACAGATTCTTCCCGGAGCGAATGGCTACCCCACAGTTACATGCCGCCCGCCATGGGTAACAGGTGGAGTACAGCGCATGCACCTGGATAAATATTTATAGAAGAAAAAATTAAACATTATCTTGACCAGTAGTTAAACTTCAAGATTAGAATAAGAACATAGAATACACTTTTTGATGACAATGTTCCTCTTGATTTTCTTCTGTTATAATATAACCCTGGTCGATTTTCATCGTTAGAGATAAGTTTTTAAGCTTGTTTTGGAAAGATATCGTGAAAGATCTTAATCAATAATTCATATCTCAAAAGTACCAGTTATACTTATCTGAATTTTGTTCATGTCCCATTCCCAGATGGTTGTATTAATATTAACCATTTGTTGCAGTATTTTGTACAAATATGCTTATGTTGTCAATAGAAGGTTCGTTCTACCGGTATGTTTGTGTAAGTTTCAAAATTACCACATCTCTGGGGCCAGTGATCCGGTACATGACTGGAAACTGTACCCTTCCCCAATATCTTTATGTTCTGTGAATGTCTTACCGCAAAAGGTTTCGTTTTGTGTTTGTACATAACAAATTCTCCAACTCTTTGGTTTTCCCAGTATATTCTGTCAAACGTCACCATGTGGGGGTCGTTAAACCCCCCACACATTCCTCCCCCTGAGGTGTAGGAGCTGTCATCAGTAACAGACACCTGTAATATACAGCGACTAAATATTTAACAGCTTCTTTTAAGAACTTTGTCAACTACGTACATACAGGTCATTGCAATATTTGAAGTTAAGAAGTTTCCAATTTACCAAGGATACAAAAGAATGGAATTTTTATATTTTGCTAGGAAATCATGTTGTGCAAAAAAAAATTAAAGTAATAGCATTCCACATCATTTTAATTTATTAGATGTAAACTGTCCGACATATGATTAGTGTATGCAATCCGAGATTTGGTATTTAGAATAGAACAGAACAGAACATTTTATTACTAATTTAGAGCCCATAACAGACAAGTATGAGATTGTTATAATAATAAGGAAAAGATAAGCCAATGAATAGCAAAACAATTATACAATTAGTAATTGACATAAATCATTTTAACAATAATCCTGTCTAAAAGGAATACATCAAATATGCATGTATGTGTAAAAGACTAATGCTACTATAACATGTTATCATTTATAAATTTGCCCACAAAATTAAGAGTTTCCTTATCTTCTGTATTGAGTAACCAATAAAGTTTTTGTTCATCATCTAAAGCTGAAAATAGTGGAAATTTATGATTAATTAACTGAAATATTTCTTTTCTTTGATGATCAAATTTTTTGCATGTTATTAAAAAATGAGTTTCATCATCTATGTTGTTAGAATTACATCTATTACATAATCGATCTTCTCGAGGAATATTGGTAAATCTTCCCACTTCAATTTGTAATCTGTGACAGGAAATTCTTAATTTACATAGAGATATTCTGTGATGAAAATTTTTAACAACTGATAAATAATTCTCATAACCCCAATTTTGTTTGAGTTTCACATATGTGGATAATTTGCCATCAGTATAACTTTTATGACTTGTATACCATTTCTTCACATAAAAATCTAATAAAATTTTATGACAAAATGACTTAAATTTATATTTCCCATAACAAATAACTTCATCTTTAATATTCAGTAATTTTCTTAATTTCTGTATAAATGCAAACCATGAGTTCTTTCCATTCACAAAAAGCTTTTTACTACATTCATATGCATCTTTAAGTAAAGGAAATTCTATGGACAAATTTTCAAATCTATACCAACTTTTAATCAACAACCTGACAATATCATAATGCAGGGGGAACCTTCCCAATTCAGACAGTACTGCAAAATTTGTGCTTTTCTTATGAACGCCGAGAATATATTTACAGAATTTAAGGTGTATTCTTTCACAGGGTAGATTTTAAAGCAGTCTTCAACTGTTAAATTTTGGCAGTTTAGGAATTTTTTAGTATTTATATTACTTGCACCCCACACCTCTGCATTATACAAAAGAATTGGTTTAATGGTGGAGTCAAATACATGTATACTGGTTTTAATCCCAGGGTTCAAATCAATAAAATCCTTTCTTAACTTATAATATGCTTTTAATGCTTTTTTATAAAGCTCTAATCTTGCTACATGAAAGCTTCCAGAAACACTTAGGTGGACTCCAAGATATTTGTAGCTAGGCACACATTCTAACATATTATTTTGAAACATTAGTTTTTGTGTAATATTACGACCAGCCTTATTAAAGATCATGACTTTTGTTTTTTGAATGTTTACCTTTAAACACCAATCAGAGCAATACTTTTCAAGTTTAGCGAGTCTTGCTTGTATACCTTTAGCTGATGAGGATAAAATAACAATGTCATCTGCATACATTAAACAATTAACAGTTTGTGTCTGAAGCGATACTTCATCAATACATGAATCTAAATATGATGGAAAGTCGTTGATAAATATTTTAAATAGGGAGGGGCTCAAATTATCCCCTTGACGGACGCCTATAGCTATTTGAAATGGATCCGAGAAGAATCTCTCAATTTTCACACATGCTTGACTATTCTTATATATAGATTACTATTAATGATATTATAAAATTTTGATCCAACATTCATGTTAAGTAATTTTAGCTTTAATCCTGTATGGATACCACTATCAAAAGCTTTATGAAAGTCAACAAAACATGCATAGAGTCTTCCTTCTTTTGTGCTACAGTATTTATCAATTAGACATTTTAGAACAAATAGATGATCAGATGTTCTTGCATTTTTGGTAAAACCCATCTGAGATTGATGAATTAAATTATGTTCTTGAAGAAATTTATCTAGTCTAAAGTTCAAAACACTGTTGAATAACTTGCCAAGAGTGCTGGTAATCGTGATACCCCTATAATTTGAAGGATTGTTTGGATCATCAGATTTAAAAATTGGACTTATGTACCCATTACTCCAAGCTTGAGGATAAAAACCATATGTGAAACAGCTATTAAAAAGTTTATGTATACAGGGAAGTAAATAAGATTGACTGTGCTTTAACATTTCATTAGATATCAAATCAAGTCCCTTCGCTTTTCCATATTTTAAATTTGCTATTGCATCAACAATTTCTTTATTTGAAATCACATAATCCAATTCATTAAAGGATGGGTTATTCTCCATGTCAGCCAAAATCAAATCTATCTCTTGTATCCTAGCATTAAAAGAGTTATCACACACAGAGTGATGATTGCGAAAATGATTAACCCATGTTTCAGGATCTATGTTTGCTGCAGAATTATCTTTATTATCATCTTTTAGGTCATTGATTAATTTCCAATATTGTTTTGGTTGTTTATTTTGAAGTGCTTCAAGCTGATTTGGAATATGATGACTTGAAATATGATCACATGCAAAACTTTCCAAAACTTATCAATTCGCGGGTCAAATAAATGTTGTGTTTCGAATATTCACGTACTAAATTACTGATTTGCAAGTTAGGACAAGGTTATTTTACCCTTTATATTCAATTCTAAATTACTGGGTTAATTTTATTAGATTTCATAAGGTTACTTTTGACCATTCACAAAGCTTATGGAAATTTTTTTTAGATCATTTTAGGATTGCAGAAATAATCCTTCATTAGGAAACTTACAGTGACAGTATGGTCGATTGTGACGTTGTTCCACGCATCTGATCTGTCGGTTGGATTCGCCGTAGATTTAAATTTAACTCTGGAATATCTATCCCACCAGTTCTTCACGCTGTCAACGTACCCAGTCACATTTAGTATCACGGGTTGGTCCCAGTATTTATATGGGATAGACACGTGACAGCCGTTGTCAGGAAACGCCACGCCCAGATATTTGACACCATTCCAGCACCAGTCCCACTCACTCGTGATGATATGCAAATTAGCTTTACACTGAGCCTCTTTTTCAGCTGCGGTTAGTGACGCTGTACAGCCAACGGGTACAGAGCTTGTGAGGGTTATCTGGGTATTGTCACCTTCACTGACCCGGATGTTTGATTCCTGTATCTAAATATAAAGACATTACTACCGTTAACGTTTTCTCCTAGAATGTAGGTATAATACGACGGCTGCTTATTTTCTACTTGTTAATTGAAAATCGAAAGTCTGTATAAGTTTTACGATTATTCAAAAGAGCGAAAACAAACAAATTTAAATTACTGTAATTCCAGCGAAGAAGATGGGGCTGTCATTGGGAGGACCTTGTCCACTGTCTACAAGATACTGGGCATGCACTGAGCACTTTACCTACAACAAAATAAAGCGATCATGCCTTCAATTATACTGAAAGAAAACATAGAGATAAAAGGGTAAAAAAAATCACGTACTCTTTAGTGTCAAAAGCACATTGAAAGAGCTTAATGGTTCGATAAATCAGTTGTATATCGTCGAAAGATTTTTATAAGTTTTAATTCATCAAATGAAAGAAATTTATAGTAAAACTTGTCATTAAAACAACAGCAATTACTGCAATGAGACTTAGATTTAAAATCGTATAAGACAATTAGATTTTGGAATACACAACACCAGGATTAGAAAAATTTTCAATATTTCAAAAGTGTCTACATTCATGTTCATGCTGAAGCTTGCAGTCCAGTGCTTAGGTCTGAGGGCCGCTGTGGTGTTGATGTTCTGGTGGGTCACAGCTCCATATGTTGTCGTTGTTAGCAGCTGATTGTTGATGAGCCATTTCACAAGAAAGAAAAGATTACCACCGGGGTCTGGAAATACGCACACCATATGGGGTTCTTCTCGGGAGGCGTCATCTGATGATCCCAGGATAGCAACCACAGTTGGACTCACAGTCACATTGGGAACACCCACTACAAGAGCAATGGTAATTTAGAAATTTTAAAAGAAATTATTTATACATTGATTTGTCGACGGGTTCTCCAGTTATTAACCGTTGACGACAAAAAACACACTAAGGGTGTGATCGGCTAGCAAGTGATGCTAACTCCTCCATCGCACCTGTTCCAACCTTTGATGCTTTTAATTTGAGGTCTGTGTTTACTCAGCTCCAAAATTTGTATCATTAAATGAACTTTTAAGCTTTAATACTGTTCATTATCTCTAGATATTTCATCGTTAAGGTTGAGATTGTTAAGGTGATTCATGATCCAGTTATGAACCGTCATTAATTGCTTGCCAGAAATACTTATCAATGATTCGCCGGTTGAAACTGCTGTGTTCGATGAATATTGAAAACTTTAATGCAAAAGAGCTCGAAAAAATGAGAATACCTGAATTTGTCGTTGTATCTGGCAAAGATGCAGTGCTCGACATAATAGTAGATGGCGTGGTATCGGAACTAGATTCGACAGTTTGGTTATTACTGGACATCATCGTTGTTGGTTTGTCAGTGGAACTTTCTGTTGTCATATCTCTGATTGTTGTTGTTGTTTGGTTATCATTAGGTTGTCCAGATGACATCGTGGTCTGTGAATCAGTGTTCGTTGCTCCCATTGTTGTCGATTCAGTGTTTGTTATTCTCGTATTTGTCGTCGTGGTCTCCGCCATGGACGTTGATGTGGTCGGAGGCGTTGTCGTTGACGTGTCAGGTAATACAGAGGTTGTCTGGTTTGTTTCACTTGTAGCAGATTGTGGGGAAGATGTCGTTGTTGTCGGTGACTCAGCTGTGCTGGTTATGTATGATGAAACTGTCGTAGGTGATGATGAGTCTGTGATTACCGTTGCTGTTGTTTGTGCGTTATTCATAGTTGTTGAAGGAATTGCTGTGGTAGTTGTCATTCTCTCTGTTGTAATTAATGTTGTTGTTGTTTCCTTTAGTGTTGTTGGTGATTCAGTAGTCGATGATTCTGTTGTTGTTGGTGCGTTTGTCGTAGTTTGTGCCCCGGATGTTGTAATTTGTGCCACTGTTGTCTGCACCTCCGTTGTTGTTGTTGGTAGTGCGTTTGTCGAAGTTTGTGCCCCGGATGTTGTTATTTGTGCCACTGTTGTCTGCACCTCCGTTGTTGTTGATGGCTCTGATGTCTGTTGTTATTTGTGCCACTGTTGTCTGCACCTCCGTTGTTGTTGATGGCTCTGATGTCTGCGCCGTTGTTGTTGTCTGTACCTCTGTTGTAGTTTGTACCTCTTGTGTTGTTTGTACCTCTGTTGTTTGTGGTATGTTTGTTGTTGTAGTATCTAAGTTTGTAGTTGCTTCTGCTGTCGGCTCTGTTGTTTCAATTGTTGTTGGATTTACAGTCGTCGTAGTAGCAGAACCTACTCCTGATTTAGACAGAAAAAATTATGCTTCATTATTCTAAATTTCTATTTCGTTCTCAATGCTTAAATACAAGAAAATTCTTTGTGTTTTGTGAAGGAGAGAAGAAAAATTACCATGAATACTGCTGAGAAACAGGAGAAGGGCACAAACAATAGACTGGAAGTTCGTCATATCTAAAATAAAACAGAGTATTTTTGTTTACAAATTTACGTATTCTCTAAAAGAAAAGTTAAAAGCACTTTCTAACAATAAACAGTTACTTTACTTTATTGTTCCATTGTTTGAAGCATAAAAAAATGCCTAATATTCCTATTATCTTAACCTGTCGTTTTGTTTAGAAATATTGTAGAGATTAAACGTCTTTGGAAATTTTTAATCTTTTGGACATGATTTCATCTTCCTTCAATACCTTGTTTATGTAATTAAAAAAAATTATGATCAAAATCATTGACAAATATTGAAGACCTGTCTGAAACAATGGCAAAACCTTTTCCTTTTTCTTGGAATTATGGAAAACAATTTATAGGCGTATGATATTTGTCTAGCGAACACACTGTGTGAATTATTTAGAATAACAGAAACATATATCTTTGCACTTATGAAGTTTTGACGTCATGAATTTCATAGTAAGGCTACTTAGCTCATCCATTTTTTATGTAATCAAACACTATAATATCAAGATAGATCGGATATAAAAAGAGACCTAGAAAGTGAACAGAAAAAAGAGTCTATGTCAATTTATAGGTTTTGTATTGACTACAATTATTTTATATTTTTGGCATCTAGAAAAAGAGATTTCAAAAGAGAATTCAGCGTCTTGGTTTACACAACATTTATGCATAATTTATTTAAATCAGAAAGTTTTAGTCCAAAAAAAAAAACAAAAACAATGAACTTAATTTATTTTTTAGAACCTTTAGTTGAAACTGAAAACTAAGTGTTAATAAATAATCTTAAAACAATATCAATTTTTTTCTTTTTAATGAGATGGCTAGCAGAGAAAGAATCTGAAAATTTCCAGAATTTGATTTTCATCATTTTTTGCAAAATATTTCAAATCTATTCATATAAAACGATAATACAGGTATTTGAAAGAGTTGTATTTTTTCTCAGACAAACATAAGAAAATAAACAACAACAACTTAATCATCGTGTTTCTGCTGTCTATTTGCTTATCTAAATTAATATCAACCTGGAGGAATTGTATTTCCCTAGGATAACACTCCTCCTCCTTCCTTTACGAGGGTAAAGTGCAAGAAGACGGGGGTTTGTACAGAATTGCTGTTACTTCGCAGTATTGCTAATGAATTTTTTAAATAACCCGACCATTTTATTCTGTTAGGGGGGTTATGAGATCTTTATCTCCATGGTTCCTTAAATAGACAAAACCAGGTTTTCCAAACAAAAACATAACGGGTAATGCATCTGTACCTATTTGATTACGAAATTAAACTGTTTAATTGAAAATACTGTAATATTAGACTTGTTTACTTTGTCTTAGCCAAAGATCAATGGATCTGTAATGGACCCGTTGTAATGATTTTTATTTTAAGATGCTAAAATATAAAACGCAAGACTGATTTTAATAAAATAGTCTACACATAATTTCTTGACATTTGAATACATGAAGTTACAAGCACCGTAGTATTTCGAAGAGACACAGAATAAAATATCTTTTAATGATGAATTAAAAAATCAGTAATTGAAAACGTTCAATAATATAAAATTGTTACAAAGATTGCATTTTAAAGGATCTTAATTCAATGAAGTAGGTTAACACCAATTGACCCCCCCCCCCCCAGTTCCTTCAAATGAAAAAAATTCTTTTAATCTAGCAATAAAGACTTTGTTGTACTTCTAAATGTATCATTAATGTTTTAAATGTATCGTGCATTAAATTGTTAGCTGAACGATTTATTTATGCTTTCCATAAATTACCGATAAATTGCCAAAAATAAAGAGAAAATCAAATTAATAATGTATAGCTAGGTATCGTGTATGAAAACAGATGTATCCCTTGTTCCGTGTTTCATCTCCATTTTAACTATCTTTGATTATAACTAAAATTTTATAATCAATGGTTTGATTATTTCAACATATTTATTCACTAAACAAAACTTGTATACAAGGTAAGACTAAAACATGAGGTTCCACACATAAAATAGATATCAGGCTTGCTAATCGTTAACAAGACAGAGCCTTCAAAGTAATTTTTTCCCACTTTGTCACTTTTAATATTGCCTTAATAATCATGCTCAAATAATTAAAAGATTGCAATTATGAAAGAAGGATAATAATAAAAACCTTTGGTATAAATCTTCAACAATTTCAGACCCCCATTTTAATCATTTTTATAGATAATGTGAATTTGTTAAAATCAAAACAAATTTAAATAGTGTTCTCGGTGCATTGAATAAATACTATTATATCAAAATGTTGACCATAGTAAAGTTGTTTTATTGCTGAAATAATCATTTATCATTTAGCATGCTGATTTGAGATTAAGGGACTTTCATTGTGCAATACTTTTTGCAGCAAATTAAAGCAAACCACTTTACAGTTTTTATGCAACGAAATGTAAGGATTTGACGAACAGTATTTAAGATAAAAAGTCCATTAAACAATACAAAATAGGAGCAGAGCAAACACGGACCTCCAAAACATCAGAGATTGGTTCAGGTGCCATGGAGCAGAGAGCATGACTTTCCGAACGCTTAAAACTCCCGTGTGCTTCTGTCATGACCGAGAAATAACGAAAAATCCTGACGTCAATTAAGTGTATAAATGATTATATGACTAATAATTAGTATGAAAAACGTCAGTCGGCATTTGACTCAATGAAAACTTATAATGTATGCAACTGTTTTCACAGTTTTTATAGAATTTAACAGATTTAAGATGAAATCACTGGACAAAATCAAATTACAAATTTAAAGAAAAGATTGCTTTAAGAGTTTTGACTGATAGGTAGATGGAAGTCTTCGTAGTATATTTGTGACGTTATGATGGACTGAAGTTTGTTACGAATGGGTCATAAATATTTTTTAAAAACTATTACAGGTTTATCTGTAATAAAGTCTTGATTTATGATAAAATTTATGACCGGATAGCGGCAAACAGGTTTTCAGAATCATTGAATATTCTGTTTGATCGAAGACTGAAATTAATATTGTGTTCAAAGTAAAATAACACGTAAAAAATTGAAAGTTTTTGTTTTTTAAAGAAGGGGAGGGTTGAAAATATGTTTAAATAATGTTTTAATTGTTTATCAATCTCGGATGTTTACTAATTAAAAATAAAACAAAATAATTTTTATAAATTTCTAGATTACTAACACGACAAACCTTATTTTATTCACACTCCTATTTCATGGTTGGAGATATATTAAATAGTATTATCTTTTTACATTTTTCATCAAAATCTAATTATCGTTAGATTATTTCTGATATCGGGGAGAAATTTTTTATAAGAAAGAACATTTAAATTATTACTGGCCTACACGTCAGCAGGTTTAATATTTTTTCAAATGTTCATTAAAAAAGAATCTGGAATAGAATAACCTAAAATACGATTTAACTTCAGCTTATACTATCGAAAATAAGTTTCTATGTAATTGACATGATAATAATGACTACCGTGGATATTGTCACCAGTTTATAATTATAAAGAACTATAAATATGATTATTTTCCGGAAAAAAAATTCTTGAAAATAATAAATTATTGATTGTAATATTGGAGTCTAATAGGTCCTGTAAATTACAAATATGAAAGATGACAAAAGTTTCATTTACACCAATTCTAAAACAATTATCCCTGGATGCTTAAAAATGACATACCTCAGAATATACCGGCCTTTTAGCGATCGACAGGTGCGCCCCCTAATGTCCCGAACATTTATCTCCAGCGTCCCTTTAACTAAGAATCAAGGAAGTTTATTCATTGCCATAGCTATAGATTTAAAGGATAAAGAAGATGTAATTAAACCATAAATATTTCAAATGCCATATCAAATATCGTTTACCGTCTTGTTCTTAAGAAAAAAATAACACCGCTCGTAATAGTCTTAAAACAATCAGATCTTATAAGGTCACGCTATAGCTTTTTGAAGTCATAAAACCCTATTTTATTGTTGTATCACGCATCGATCGCATCCTCTCCTATCATGTTATGGTTGTAGAAAACTGCGCATCCGAAAACAAATCAAAAATGAATATAAGGGAGTATTCCAAAGCTGTAAGCTTCTTTTTTCCTTAGTGGTTAAGCATTGTTTCTTCAAATCTTTTGATTTTAAATTCAATTATATAATTTAAAAATCATAATATTATATCATATCTTGAAAGGGAAATCAAGGCTAGCATATGAAACAATTACATTTAATTTTAAAAATTCGATTCCATTTGAATTTGTGATTGAGCATCTGAAAACTCGCATTAATAACTACCTCTGTTAGAGAAAAAAACCCTTATTTAATGCATGGCATCCCTCGAAGATTTCCAGATAAAGTGGGCACACGATACGGATAATTTAGAAAAGGTAATTGCATATCTGAAGCTGATAAGATCATATTCCTCTTTATGTGGATGCGCTATTATTTCTCGTCTATTCTTGTTTTTAATGAATTTATTTAAGATTTATTTTTTTTGTCCGTTGACATATAATAGGTTTTGGAATTATGTAAAGTATATCAATTGGTTCCACCCTAGAGCAAAAGATTTGCTAAATTTTTTCAACATGACTGTGTGAATTCCTGCAGGATTTTATTTTATCCAGTATATAACATTATTAAAATAATTAGCCATAAGTGTCTCTACTTTAAATATGTGGATAATAAAGATACGTCTCCTTTCTTATAGTTCATGTTTCCACTCTCTACAACTGAAAAAAAAACAAATGTTGAATATTTTACACAACTAACATTTTAAATATTTTATCTCATCTTTTTTTCTCGTACATCTTATGTCTGTTTTAATCAACATTGTTATGACTGGAAAGTGAAAGAAAAACAAAATAAGGTAAAGTATATATATTCTATGTCTGAAAAATTCGAAAGTAATTTTTTTGTACAATTGTAGACCTAACAGGAAATGGTACTTTTTGGCTTCTTTGTGTGTTGCGTGTTCATCGCAGGCATGGACCAGGTACCAGACTTAATTGTATCAAAAGATCTTTATAGTTGTCAAGAATATAAGTTAAAAAAGACCCTTTACATGTAAGAAATTTTGTTGTATTCAAAGAAAGCTGGATGTAGTGCAATAAACAGTAATCTGGAATCAATATTGAATGACACCCTTCAAGAAAAAAATACACATCAGTTATGTTGGAAGTCGTGCTTAAGGATATCCGATCCTCAGCCAGGAAGGATAACTCCAAAAATTAATATTTAATTTGAAATGCATCAAAATGAAGTTTAAAAATTTTTTCATGCAACAATTTTCATTTTATTCATCTTTACAAGATTCAAGGTTTTTGGAAGTCTTAGAAAAGGTCTTTAAAAAGTTGACATTTGTACCCTATAAAAGGAAAAAAATTAATACAGTTTTAGAGAAATAAGATTTTCTTGAATCCAGTCTTAGATACCAAAGCTTATTAGCAAGATATGAAATATGAAGTCATTTGTGGGATCTTGCAATGAAAGCAAAAGCCTTTTGCACTATGTATTATAGAATACATGACGGAAATAGAAGACCAAAAATACCAAATAAGCATAAAAATCATGGCAATTTCTCTGCATGCCTGGATACCTATCGTTTTTTAACCTAAAATATATTTGTTGATCAATTTGCAATTAGAAAATGCATTGCTGATGTTCCAATTCCAATATTGGATATTTGACAATTTTCCCTATATAATATGATTAACTTTAATCTTTAACTTAAAAGAAAAACTGTGGATAAATTTACATAACTTTGTGGATTCAGAGATACTTTTATGAGTATTTTTGATTACTTAACTGCTAATTTTATAAACCTGAGGATTGGACTACCTTAAAAAGGAAGATCAAATGTCAAAAAAATATTGAGTCATTAGGTTTATACATCGTACAAATCATTTTATGTCGTACATGATTTTCTGTCTCTTCAGAGATTTCTATAGATTTTTGGAGATTTGATCAATCTTCATTATCTTCACCTTTAACAAAAGGAGCTGGTACATTGAATATTCATTAGGAGGACAAAATAAGTCTATAAAAAGATTGAATGGTAAAATGCTGGGGGGGGGGGGGAAGTGATTGGTAGAAGAGGAACTTAGTACTACCTCTCTCAAGAGACATCTATTATGTAAATGGTATTTTGATTGAGAAGTGATGTAAATTAGATGTGGATACTGAAATATTCCAAGAATCTTTTGGTGAGCTTGAAATAAAAGATACCATAGAATCTGTCACATCTGTTTCATATTTGCATATTTTGCTTGAAAAAGACGTAACGGTAATCTAAAAACCAAGCTCTATGAAAAATGTGATGATTTTAACTTTAATTTTCAAGTGAAATGAGGATAAGGGTTGCCTTAGACCACTTGACCATTTTTCCAATATGACTGACAAATGTAATTGGCTATGTGTACAAAAGTCTTCTGTCGGCCACTAAGAATATTCGAAGAGAGTCAATTCAAGCAACATAAATAAACAAAATGTAATTAACTTCAACTTCCCTTCAGTATACACGTATATTGTAACGTTTTGTTAAAACACAGTCTGATCGTACACACAAGTACCCTGCAGTTGACATCAAAAAGATGCTTGAGTTTCTGATTGATAATATCTATGTTAGACCAGGGCTTTCAGAAATCTATTGGAATTCCTATGGGTACTAATATCGCCCCGTTTTTAGCAGACCTATTTTTATGTTCATAAAAAAACAGAATTTGTCCAAAATATTATACGTGAAAGAAAAGAAAACACTTGCCGTGGTCTTCAACTCGACATTTAGATATGTCGACGATGTATTGTCGATTAACAAAGGTAATTTCCATTCATATGTCGTATTCGATACGAAATATCCCGATGAGCTTGAGATAAAAGATTCAACAGAGTCTGAAACATCTGTTTCATATTTGGATATTTTACTTGAAAGTGCGTTAATTACGAAAGCCCAGAAGGCTCATTCGAGATTCAAGTTTCGAAATACGAGATTCGAAATTCGAGTTTCGAGATTCAAGATCCAGATTAACCAATCAAATTCGGGTTCAATATTTGATTACTCCCCTTTATTATGCTTTTACTATCAAGAAATCAATTAATATATTTATAACAAATGAGTCATTTGATTAAATTACAATGCAAGAAAGAGTGTTATATATATTAGAAGGAAATTTAAATAATCATTGGATTTTTGTTCAGCAAGATACACTTAAATTTATATTATGGATTCTTAGATATTAAATAGAATACATATCAGGAGTATATATATTTTTGTATTGTCTACTTTGGTTACGGGGTTGATGACATATAAATAAAGTTATAAATACATGTTAAGTGTTTAAAGATTAACAATAACCCCACCCTACCCAACCCACCTGCCCATTTTTCCAAACACACTAAAAATGTTACTTTGTAAAACTTGAAAAGTGACGTAGTATTGATAAACAAACATCGCGTTCGTTTTCCTGATAGAGGAAATATATTAAAATTGAGTATTTAATTACTTATTATCATCTAAGGCTTTGATTTCTTGAATTAATTAAAAATTATATATACAATACAAATTGGCAATATGAATTAAAATAAATGCGGTATTTATTTAATCTCATATCAATCAGTAGATGAGTCTAAATTAGATGCAGAACTATAGCGTTATGGTTTTATATTTTAGTCTCTGATCATAGCGTTATGGCCAAAGACTAAAATAAACTCGCGAAACCTTATAATGCTACAGTTCGATTCAGCAGTCAAGTCTCACTGCACAACTGTACCCTTTATAAATGTAATGAAATATATACCCTTGAATTACTGTGCAGTGTGGAGACGATTCATTATATTTCATATCTAATTTTAATCAGATACAATATTCTCCCTCAGCAATGATCAGATTTAAAATAAATGTCGACCTACTTGTACCGTACGTCAACGCTCAAACCATATAATATTCAATATATACGTATTTACTATATTGTTTAAGGAGAAAATTAAATTATATATGTAATTTTAGAAATGTAATGCAAATTTCATTTTCGTTTCGTTTTAATACATAAAACAGTTTTTCTTGCATTATCATTTTAGCAAATGACCCATTTGTTATAAATACATTCAACAATTTCTTGATAGTAAAAACAAATGGGAGTAATCAAATGTTGAACCCGCTTTTGATTGGTTAGTTTGGATCTTGAGTTTCGAAACTCGAATTTCGAATCTCGTATTTCGAAATCTCGAATGAGCCTTCTGGGCTTTCGTAGTTAATGGTAATCGTAAAACCAAGTTCTATGATAAATAGATGACTTTAACTTAACAATCGTCAAATTCCCTTTCTTACGCAGCAACATACCTTTATCACCTGCATACGGAGTTTATATATCTCACTTGATTCGATATGCAAGAGCATGATCTACGTATGAGCAATTTCTGAAGTGAGGTAAATTAATGACAAACAACTTGATGAAACAAAAATATCAGCAGTCTTGTTTAAAGTCATTATTTTGAAAGTTCTATGCTGGATACGATGACAAGGTCAGTAAATACAATTTATCATTGAGGCAAATGCTGACCAACGTTTTCATACTTATTGTTAGTCCATTATTTACACACTAAGTAGACGACGGATTTTTCCGTTGTTTCCCTGTCTTGACAGGGAGCACACGATGGGTGTGATCTGTCGGCATGGGATGTTCACTCCTCCATGGCACCTGATCCCACATCTGATCTTTTGGAGGTCCGTGTTTGCTCTGATCCTGTTTATATTGTTTTACTGACACCTGGGTTTGAATACTCTTCGTTGTTTTGTATTGTTTTATGGCTTTTTGATCTTGAATACTGTTCGTCGTCTCCATATGTTTCATTCGTTATCTTATATATTTCATCACAACAGTTT